CTAAGCCAACTTGAGAAGAAGCTGAGAATTATGGTAATCAAATTCTGGCTTTAATACTTATCCACGAAGAATTAATAACCGCCGAAAGGGTAATGAGTGATGAAGAATGAGAAAAAATTGATGAGTCTATAAGTGGATTAAAAGAAATAACTTCATCAGATGATACTGACCTCAAAGCAGCACTAATTTTTGAAGGAAATAATTATTCTGAAAAAATAAACGAAGTACTTAGCAAGTTGACTGAGTTAGCAAAAGAAACTGACCAGTGAGACATGGGGGATGAAGAGGAGGAAGAAGGAGTTTATGGATTGGTTAGTGAGGAAGAAGTAAAAACTTTCCTAGAGGAGATGGAAAAACTTTGCCAGGAGAAAGAGATTACCGAGGAACAAGTTAATGCAAATTGACAGTTGAAAATAAAATTAAGAAGCGGCAGATTAAACAATTATCAGGAATTGATTAAGAAAAAAGTTTACTCACAGAGGAAATTAGAAAAATGAAAAAACTTGCTTACTAAAATCATTCAGCAAGTTGAATTAGAAAATAAACTAAAAGAAGTAATAAGAAATAAACCTTTTAATTTTGCCGAGTATAAGAGGATTGAGGAGGAATTGAATAGGTTAAGGAGGGCGGAACTTCCCGAAGAAATTCCATTGAAAAAATCCCCTCCAACAGAAAAGGATTTCAAAAAAGCATTTGGAGTTATAGGTGCAGGGAAACCTGCAACTAGAGAAATTACTGAAAATAAAAGTAAAAAAACACAAACAGTTAAAGAAGAAATAGTTACAGAGTGATATAATAAATACGGAGAAACTAAACTAAGTCCTAGTGATTCACTTATTGCTTGACAAAATGGCTTTGACCCTCCTCTTCGAAATTTATTTTTTTGATTTTGATTTTCATAGTATTACCTTATATTTTTTTTGAAAATTATTTATTAAATTATGGGCGGGGAACACCATGGTTCCCCCTTTACATTAACTTTTTCTCCAAACTTACTTTTTTTGGCTTAATCAGACAGTAAAATCCAACTCTAACCATCAACAAAACCCCGCTAAATATTGCTACCGTTCCTAAACCACTACCCTGTCGTGAGGGACAAGAAACTTCAAAATTGTTAGTCACTTTTTCTACTTGCTGGTCTTTTTTATCGGAATTAAAAGAAACTTCGGTTTGGATTTTGCTTAGATATAAAAAACAGGAGTAGGATTAACCACTCCTTTTAATCCAATTTATTTACCAGTTTGAACAATTTGTGCTTGTTGAGATTGGATTAAAGGACGCATTTCTTTCTTCAACCTATTTATCTCAACTATTTTGCTAAAAAATACTTGCTTCTCTTTTTTTTCAAGAAATTTTAAGTCATCTAAAACCTCATTGGCTAAATCAACATTTTTATGTTTAATTGCTTCTTTTCCTTCGTTAATTAAATCTATTATATATTTGTGTTTTGGTCTTTGTTTATAAATGTCTTCCACTACTTTGTAACCAAATTTATCTAATTCTTTTTTGCTTGTCTTTTTTTTTAAGGTTATTTCATAATCAATATACTCAACCATCGTTAAGTCGGTATTCTTTAATACTATGCGTTCTAGGTGTTCTTCCTGCTCCCCAATTTCATCTTCTTCATATTCATATTCATCTTTCAGAGCATAGTCAATTTTATGTTTTCATATTCTTCTACAATTTTCTAAACTTAATTCACTAGTTATTTTTTTTAATTCAGACTGTTTATTTATGGCTGCTTCGCTTTCTTCATCATTACCAGTAAGTATCCAATTTTTCATTGTTTTAAATTTATTAAGCAAACTAAGAAACTCTTCATCACCAATCTCTTCGATTTTAATGTTGCTAAACTTATCTAATTCTGTCTGAATTATTTTTTTGGCTTTGCTTTCAGTATCTGCTCTAGGAGAAGGGAGTTCAGGTTTATTTTCTAATTGCTGCTGCAAATCGGAAACTTGTTGTTGCAGTTGAGTGTTTTTTTCAGTTAACTCGCTTAATTGCCCGAGGGTTGGTCTTTTTTCCAATTCAGTTATTTTATTCAAATCGGTTTGAACTTGTTCCAAAGTTTTACCTCCTAAACCATCCTTTCATTTATTCAATTCGTTTTTAATAGCATCATAATCAGCGGGTTTTTGGTTGCTCAAAAGATGGTTATAATTTTCAACAGTAACATTGGGACGACTTTCATATTGATCTAAAGTTGGTCTATTCTTATAATTGTTTCAAGTTTCAATAGTTATATTAGGTCGTTCATCCCTTTCTTGTAAATATTTGTTTTTATCGGCTATTTGTTGCTCTCAATTATTTGGCAGACCATTCGGTTTTTGATTTTCCAAAGCCTTTTTATAATCCTCGGTTGAATACATTCCTCTCTTTATTGCTTCTGATTCTAAGTCATCAGGGTTAATTCAATCGACCCGATAAGTTTTTGGGTCAACTAATCCCCTATATTCGGCTTTAATATGTTCTACTGCTGCCTCAAATTCTTGCTGAGTCTTGTATCCTTTTTCCCGAACCAGTTTTTCGTAATCCTCCTGGGTTGTTAATTGTTCTAATTCTTTTAAAACAGGTCATAACTTATTAATCCTTTCAGTAATTTTTTTTAAACTTAACTTATGGGGATATTTTTTTCAATCATCTGTGTGGTCTATGGCTTCGGCTCGTAATTTTACTATTATATCTTTTATTTCTTCGATAATTTCTTTTGTTTTCATAGTGGTATAAATATTTCGCTTTTTACTCCCAGTTCCCGCTGGGCGGCGGGAACCTAGAATAATTAACTATTAGGAGTGTTTGTTCAACTTAGCAAGTTCAATCTGTGCTTTAACCGCTTCAACTTGAGCTTTGGCTATTTCGGCTTGTGCTTGTGCCTTAGCTATTTCAGCCTTGGCATTTGCTTCCGCTATTCTGGCTTCGGAATCGGCTTTTGCCTGAACTTCCCCACCTATTCCTCTAGTTAAGGAATCGGTAATATTTTTGCTAGCATCAAGTACATCAAAATTTTTGACAAGTTGCTTTGTAATATCTGCTCCTTGTTCAATAACTTTCACTGTAACTTTTTCTCCAACATGCATAGCATCTTTTCCAAAACCCATACTTTCCTTAGTAAGATCTACTAATCCACTACCAGCACCTTTAAGTAAATCTGCTCCAACATCTATACCTTTCTCAGCAAGTTCTTTGCCATCATTCATTGCGTCTTCACCAAGTTTTGTTCCCACTGCTATCACACCATGAAGAGTAGCCAAGCCAGCCCCAGCGATATCGCCCACTACTGGAAAGGCACCCTTACCAAGCCCTACATATTTTTCGGCAGCTTTCATTGTTTGTTCAGACAGTTCAGCAATACTAGTGGATGAATTTGATCTTCTTAGTCCACTTTGTGGCACCATTAGATTTTTCTCGCTTTCTTCCAATTTCTTTATCTCGACTTTTAATCCTTCAAGCCCAATTTTAACTTCTTTTAATGCATCTTGAGTTTCACCTCAACTTAATTCTTCTTCATTCCGAATATTATCTAAGTTTTTTTTTAATTCCTTTACTTTTTTTTCTACTACTTCCTTGTGCTTTTGTTCAGTATTTTTTTTAAGCCCTATAAGATCGATACCAATGTCTCCCAAAAGTTCTCGAGCATAATTTTCATCTAGTTCTACGGAGAGTTTTTTGTCTATTTTGCTTATTATTTTGTTTATTTCTTCTATTGTTTTTGACATAGTTTTACTTATATTTTATTTATTGTTTTGTTGTTAATTTCTGTATTTTTTTGCCAATTTTTTTTAAAACAGTTTAGCCTCTGTTTACCAATTACTTTTTTTAGTTTAAATTCAGACTAGAAGTAATTAGTGAAAAACTAATCCGAACATTTTTTTATGCTTGTTGGCTTCAAAGTTAAGGCGTTAATTTCTTAACCATCTTAACTAATAAATGAATAAAGCATTTTAGG